AAAAAAAAAATATTTTTTAATGATATCATCAGTTTTCAGTTAACTAGCTGGACATTTTGCTTTGACCCAGCTGTGACATGAACCGTAAAGACGAGGCTACAGAATATTGTTTTTAATGCATCAACTCCCAAATCCATAGCTCTCTTAATTGTGTATATTACTTTAAATTTCTAACATTACTTGCATGGGTTGGATAGGAATGATGGTGGGCTGATGGGCCCGGTGCATTACTTTGACCACGAACCCCGTTGTTGTGACGACTCTATGGATTCCAGACGTACGTTTTCCATATTTTTGGCACCTTTACTTTTATTGCCTCATTACTCAACGTATGACAAAACTGTCCACGAATTTTTCATTTCATAAATCACATTATTATTTCAGCTACAATTTTGCGCACTGGCTTTCGAATGCGAACCACTGTATTTGCTCGGGTGACTAGGGTGTGTGTGTGTAGTGTGTAGCTCCACGCGAGCCGGGTATATAAAGTATTGGGTTATGATACGGTCGTGAAGTCTCGCTCAAGCACCTGCTTCAATACTTCGGCAGGCCAACCATGTCTCGCATTGTTCAGACTATTATGCTGTGGACGTTTGCTGAATACTACGGCCTGTACGTCCTGTTTCATATCATCAAAGACTGCTTCCAGAAAGGTTTCCGCAAGGTTCTCCACTGGGCACCGACACCCAAGCCAAAGATACTGGACGATCCGACGCTGGGAACTCACGGTCTCCTTACTTTGGATGTAAGTATGGTGCATTAGTTTTTTTTTAATAATCTGCTGCTGTCGGAATTTTAGGATCAAAATAAACTTAGTTTGCCTTTACACTTTCCTCCCCTTTGTCACATTGTAGCACATGCATGCCCCCCCCCCCCCACTTAATGGGATTACGCAAACACCTCCTCTTTCCTACGCACGTGTTACTTTATACTCATAATTAAGACTTAAGAGAGAAGTTATAACAAATTCTTATTTTTTATATTTAAAAAAAAAAAACGCAACTTTACAGGTTGGGTAGTTAGTTAATTAAATTAATTACACTGAAATGGTCGGCTATTATTTGAATTTCGGAGATGACAGATTTGATTTGATCACGGGTGCTTTGAAGTAAAACCTCGGATGCAATTAAAGAAGTTTGCTAAGAATATGCATGAATAATTTATTGAGGTGTCTGGTCTCATAGGCAGTGGCGTGGGGGGAGTGGGGACGGGGAGGATATCTGGTCTCATAGGCAGTGGCGTGGGGGGGGGGGGGGCGGAGAGGATGTGTGGTCTCATGGGCAGGGGCGGGGGGGGATGGGGACGGAGAGGATGTCTGGTCTCATAGGCAGTGGCGTGGGGGGAGTGGGGACGGGGAGGATGTCTGGTCTCATAGGCAGTGGCGTGGGGAGAGGGGGATGGGGAGGATGTCTGGTCTCATAGGCAGTGGCGTGGGGAGAGGGGGACGGGGAGGATGTATGGTCTCATAGGCAGTGGCGTGGGCAGAGGGGGGACGGGGAGGATGACTTTTTCGACCAAATGCGTAGATTGTTGTTGTTTTTTTCTTGACAGGCGGGCGGCAACATTTTGGTCCGCCCGTAGTGGAACAACCCTAGCCAACCCACTGCAAATGAAATGAAATTTAATTTGAATGATACATTTATTAGCACATGATAAATTATCATTAGTGATTTAAGCATGCATGTCATTTTTTTTTTTTTTTTTTTTGAGATATGAACATGAAATTATTCATCCTTTTGCCCATTCCATGCAAGCCCCACGAGTTTATATCTAGTTCCTACAGCTTTTCTTATTTGAACTAAACGAGAAGGCCAAATGCCGATTGCAGTAACTCCTTGACACTGGTGAAGGAAGAGGAGGGTGTGGGGGGGGGCGGGGCGTTCTGACCACCCTGTCGTAATTATTTGGGGCGTCATTTTTGTCGGATCGCATGATACGATTTACATTTCGTGTTGTTTCCTTGAAGAAAATAATGCACGCTACCCCCCTATNCCCCCACCCCCCCTTAAACCCCCCCCCCCCCCCCGGCTTAAAAAAAAAATGAATATTCGATCTCTGTTGGTTTAGATCTAGTACTAAACGAAATTCCCAGAAGTTCACAGATAGTTCTAATTAAAATTTCTCATTTATTTATTCTTCGCACCATGTCAGGTACGTCGAGTCCAAGCAACCAGTTAAAGTAAATTATATGCATTTAACAAAAAAAGAGTATTAGTTTCTTACTGTCGGCCTATTATCTTAATTATATATTTACATATTTTAATCTTAAATAATTGAGACAACCGTCATAATTCTCACTTTACCCCATTTTACATGAGTAGTATGGTACTTACTCTAAGACTTTTTAAGTAGTATGGTACTTACTCTAAGACTTTTTCTCACTTTAACCCATTTTACCTTGTTAAAAGACTACTTAATCTTTTGTATAATTTAAGTGCATATCGTTGCCATGCTTTGCCAGGAAGTCACAATTCACTACGTGGCCAGTGGACCAGAAGACAAACCGTTGATGCTCTTTGTTCATGGCTTCCCCGAATTTTGGTTTTCTTGGAGAAATCAGATCAGAGAGTTCCAGAAAGATTACAGGTACGTCTACGCACAGGGGTATTTACAAAATAAGATACAAATTGCTGGTGAAAATAACCATTTTAACTGGAAAAAAACCAACAAAAAAAACACCAACATGGTCATCCTTTGTATAACTGTAGGCCTATATACACTTTTATCTTAAAAATATTTGAACCATACTTATAAATATTGCAGATTAAAGGTTATCTGAATTTCTAGGTAAAACCTTGGGCCAATAGAAGAGTGGTTGAATTTAATTTAAATGGCACGTTTTTATCTGTTTAAAAAATATAATAATTATGTTTTTAGATGTCATTTCTGTTGAGTTTACTTTTTTAAACAACATGTCAAGCATTCAACACTTAATAAATATATTGGCCTGTTGTTATATGTTTGGACCAGGTGCAGGTGAGTAATTTTTTCAGTGAAATTGAAACCTACTTTATAAAAGCCACTTAATTTGCAGTTGTAAATATTTGATTGCTTGCATCAAAAATTGTTGCTTATTTTGGGATGCAACTCCATGGTGCTGTCTTGCCTTACATTTTAACTGCTGTGACAAACATTATTTCCAACAGCCTGCTACATCGGTATCACAAATTCTGTATGTAGACTTCCTTATGTAATAATACAGGGCTTCAATTTTTATTTTGTGTGCACAACGACCTTAGTTATCATTTCTTCCTGAAAAAATAAAATTCTTATTAGTCTCAAATTGGTCCATTTATCCTTCTCTACAGGGTGGTTGCCATAGATCAAAGAGGCTATGGTGAATCAACAAAGCCAAAGGGCATCAGTGAATACACGGTGAAGAAACTCGTGTCCGACATCAGGCAGGTCATTTTGGCCCTAGGTTTGTTATAAAAAATATTTTAGAAACACTTTACATTTTTATTGAAATAGCAAGAGGACAAAGTGGTGCAGTGAAGTATTTTTATTTAAAAATGCATCCAATAAAAATACTTAGACTAAGTCAAATGATTAAATTAATATTAAACAGTATTAACTGTAACAGAGCTAAGTAATTAAATTATTCAAGTTAAGTTGATTTCTTGCACATATAGTAATCTAGTGAAGAATTTCCCAAAGTAGTGTTCACAGACTGGGACCGGTCCGCGAGATTTAATTTGCAAGTCCGTAAAACATAGATAGACTATTTATAGAAAAGAAAAAATAAAATATTGAAAAAATTTGCGCCAGCTCCTGGTGCAAATTTTGAAACTTGTCCATTCATCCACCAAACTTAACTGACCTGTAACTACAGCATTTTTAAGCTTTTAAATTTGTTTTTGGCCTGTCACCTTTAAATATAACATCCAGTTCTGATTAAACCAATAACACCAAATGTTGTTTTTTTTCAAACTTCTTTAAATACCAAGTCAGATTCTAGAAAGGCTTTATGACTTTTGCATTTAAAAAAAAATTGACATTTCTATAGCACAACCTAAAAAAATAAATACTGACTCTGAAAATAAAACAAATTTATCGAAGATAAAAACAACAACCCACATCAAAGCATTTTTCATTAACACTCATCCAGAAAAATGCATGATGAAAGCAATATTCAATATAAATTTAAAAAAAAATTTTTTTTTGTTTCATTAGACATGGTAATTAGTGGAAGAGACGGCAATCAGGTTAGAAAAAATGGGAAATGAGAGAAACAAAGTATGGGAAAAACTGAAAAAAAGAATGCAACAAAACAATGAAAGTGTTGGCAAGAAGTCCTCATTAGTGAACAAACAACAGTAAAAAAGAATTGAATAAAAATAACACTATTTAACACAAATAAAACATGAAAAAAAAAAACCTCAGCCGATTGACTTTGTTCTTTTATTGCACACACCACAAGGGAAAAAGGTTGTGAAGTACTGGACTAGATTACTAGACCGTCTTAATACAATAATTCTCCAGGTTACAAGAAATGTATTTTGGTAGCCCATGATTGGGGAGGGGCAGTGGCCTGGCCTTTCGGAAGACTGTTTCCTGACATGGTGGAAAAGTTGATTATTATGAATGCTCCTGCGGGTCCAGTGTTCCAAAAAATTCTTCACTCCAATAAGCGGCAGCTCAAGATGTCCTGGTAAGAACTGTTAGTCTTTCAGTGCATGGCCCAGCGGCTTGATAAGCTATGAATGCTTTTAAGAAAAATCCTTTATTTAAAAATAACTTCATGCCAAGCCAATTGGTATTGTTGATGTTAAGAAAATATATAGGTTTGGCCCCAATATTTATAAAAAAATCTTAGACTGTATACCTGTGATAGGGGTGAAGCTTAGAGCTGAGTACCATTCTGTTTAGTGATAATAAGTTAATAATTAGAATTGGAGAGGTCAGATGGTATAAATTTAATTTTACCAATTGAATAAAAAAAAAATGCATTTAAAGCAAGTTTATTTAAATAAGTACTCATAATTTTATGTTGCAGGTACATGTTTTTTTTCCAACTTCCCTATCTGCCTGAGTTTGCATTGAAACTAAACAACTACCATTTTTTTGACAATATGTTTGGTAACCAACCCAAAACTGGTATCGCCTTCTCCGAAGCATTTCAAAACCCTTTAAGCAAAGATGAAGTTGATACCTACAAATACACCTTTTCTCAACCAGGTAAGAGAAGACCAACAGTATTTACTTTTATTGGTTTTATTATGTGTACCACATATTTTTAAACATCTGATTATGTATGAAAAACTTGCCAATCTTCATTTAAAAAATATAATAATTGCAAAAGTCATAGCATATTTTGTTTATACATCTTTATTTGCATTTTTTTCTGAGGAAATCACTCAGTGTTGTATGAATACAAAAAGGTCACTTTAAATTAAAAAACTTTGAAAATTTCTCATTAGGTGCATTGACGCCGCCAATCAATTATTATAGAGCTACATTTCAAAGAAGTAAAGAACGTGTCACCTATGACATGGACTATTCAGTCCCAGTCCTACTAATTTGGGGGTGCAAGGACGTTGCACTATGCAACGACATTGCCGAGGAGACTAAGAAATCTAACCCCAACATCGAAGTGAAGCTTGTGCCAGACGCTGGACACTTTGTACAGATGGACACCCCTGACCTGGTCAATAAAATCATGAGAGAGTGGCTGGATAAATAGCAATGGAAAATAGTACAATATCATTGTGTTTCTACATGTAATTACAATGAAGAGAAGGTTTTTTTTTTATATTTTAAATCAAAGATTTAATTTGAAATTAATTTTTTCATATGTATAACTAAGTAGCAATTTTGTTATGTAGCTTTTGTGATAAGCCTTATATCATGAATAAATGTACACAAATTTATATATAATTACCCCCACACTCAAAGGACCAATGGCGTACATGAATAACATTCCCCAATGTTAATCTTACTGTTTATGTCTCCAAAATAAAGGTCACCTTGAATTACATCAATGCTCATTACAATGTTAAAAATGAGTTTTCACATATCTGGGGTGAATATATATTTTGACTTTTTTTTAAAGCATTTATCTAGACTTTTAATCAATTCAAAAGGGAAAGTATTGTTGACTTCATAATAAAAGTTTCATTACTGCCATTGTAATTGTTTTTCACACACCTTGCTGCTGAAGGGGAGCACAAATAGTAAGGTGTTTTGATGGGTAACTGTTTATACCATCTTATATTAGATGATGACATTAACAAATTAAATACTTGCACTACTTCAATGCCACTCATGAAAGTGAAAGAAGTGCTAAAGTGGTGTTAGGCAAACTCTCTTTAGAGAGTTGCTTGACATCTAGTTGAAAAGTCCGACGATGAGTCTAATGGATCCTTCAGTATTTAAAAAATTGAGACGTTCTATATATCAAATCCCCTCTCCCCCACCCCATCTTAGAATTGTATAGATATATCAGTAAGATGTCCTTTTGGCTCTATGTTGGTAAAATCATATCTCATAAACGTTCCACCGTTAAAAATTTTGATCCAATTTAGTGGGCAATAAGCCTTCATTGTACCGTACTTGTAGTGTAATTGAATACATTTTTTTTAACAGTATGAACAACATTAAAATTTGTTTTTTTTTAAAATTAATCAACCTAAATCGCTCTTTGGATAAACTGTCATGTCCTTAATATTTGAATCCATTTTTGTCAAGCAGTTAAAACTATTTCAAAATATTGTATTGTTTTATTAAAAATAACATTGGCACTAAATCTAAAAAGAATAAAACCTTTCCCTGCATTTTAATAACTTAAGTTCATAAATAAGAACAACACCGACTTATTAAATTAAACATTTAAAAGTTTATTGTTCAGATCTTAAAGTGCGGCTGAAGTTTTTAAATTTTTTTCCCTCTTCATTAATTAAGACGATTGATATACAGAATATTTTGAAACACGTGTGTTTTATATTTTATGTTTTATGACAGACGTAGCAAAATGCAGCCCGGTGTACAAAATGCAAAATTAGACTTTAGGATAATTTCAGAATTAAACAAAGATATGTGAGCAGGGCTGACAAGGGCTGGGGGACTGCAGCCAGATATATGGAACTTTTATTGTTTGTTACTTTTGGAATTTATTCAACTTAACTTTTCCTTTGAATCAGGCCTGTATATTTATCTGCCCAAACACACACACCCTTGGCTGCCTTTTATGTAAGTTTCAGGTGGTAAGATAGATATATAATTTCAGACACTGCACTATACATTGCATAGAAATAGAACAGTGGAACTCAAGAACTCAGTACATGCATCTTGTTTTATTACAGCATAGAGTGGAGAGAGTTACATTTATGCCTTTAACTGTGCAATCCGAAATTTTCTGACCATTATGTGTTACCATATGCTTGACTAATGAAAGAAACTCACTTACTATAAAATTTAAAAAAATCAATTAAATGTAATTTGTTTTTTCTCTTTAATGTTCATCAAAACTCAGTTGACAGTGGTATTACAAAAAACTTCTGAAGAGCTCTGGGCTGTGATGGGCTCACATATAAATATAATCAGTTGGAGTTTATTAATAATGTATGTACAGTGTTCCCCCAATGATCTGAAGGGTTGCATTCTGAACAAAACAACTCTGGGGCTGTTCAAAATTCTCCAATGGTTAGCATGCTACTTCCGTGTTGTGTCTTAGAATGTACAAAAATGGCAGATCAGATTGAAAGAATGAAAAAAAAAACATCCTTACCAGATTCATAAACACAAATTACTAACCACAGGGAGAATGTGAAATTCCTTTTTAGACCAGAAAAAAAGTACAGCTCTGGGAGATAAAGGAAGAAAAACACTTTTATTTGAGACATGGGCTGTTCATAGAATATATATTAAATAATGTCATTTTAAAGGCATTTATTGATAAATAAAATTGTTAAGTTCTTAAAGAATCTATTTGAACTATCAGAGAAATGGTACAGACCAAACAATTTTACAGCCCGTTACAAAATGTAATTTAGTCCAAGGACCCCTTTTGCCTGTCAGATGAAGCGCATGGAACTCTAAAGTCTGTCAGATGAAGGCCATGGAACCCTATAGTCTGTCAGACGAAGGCCATGGGACCCTAAAGTCTGTCAGATGAAGGCCATGGAACCCTATAGTCTATCAGATGAAGGCAATGGGACCCTAAAGTCTGTCAGATGAAGGGCATGGAAACATATAGTCTGTCAGACAAAGGCCATGGAACCCTATAGTCTGTCAGATGAAGGCCATGGAACCCTAAAGTCTGTCAGATGAAGGCCATGGAACCCTATAGTCTGTCAGACGAAGGCCACGGACACCTCCTTATAACAAAGTATTTAAATGCATGTAATAAAATTACAAATGAAATGCAGCTCATGTACCCCTTGCCACCTTTTCACAGACTCCCTAAGGGGTCTGTGGACCAAAGGTTAAGAACCACTGACCTAAATCATCCAACATGTGCAAATCAAGGGAACACTGTCGTATGTTTGCTTGATTTTGGTCCGCAATAGCAAAGTTTAAACAATAAAAACATTAATAGATTGAGCACAGATTAAAAAATATGAAAACATCAATGTAATTGCCTGGTTTACTTCAAAAAAAGGTAACAATTAAAAAGAAAAAGATTTCTCTTTCAAACAAATATATATGGGGAAAAAAAACCTCCAAAATAACTAAGAATTTTAGCTATTAAAATAAGAAAAAATGGTAAAGTTAAAGAGAAAATATAAGACCTCGCCAACCAAGATAAAGTCCTTATTTTATGGTGCACTGTTAATAAACATTGTTTTCCCCAGAAGTATGTCTTAAAACCATTAATCCTGCTTCATTCATATATCAGGATTCTGAGCAAGTGGTGTTCATCTTGGCCAGCCAGGAGTAAGTAGGTGTTAAATGCATTCCCAAGGGACTGGACCCTATCAATTTTAAGCTGCAGCAATTTTGGTTCCAATCAGCAGGGAGTCTAAGGTTATGGAGTGACTTTGGGTAGCCACCATGGGTGACAGCCCCCCCCCCACCCCCTGTTTGTGTACCATTCAGCAAATAATAATAACAAAAAAGTCAAAGGCTTTACTTATGATACACCAATATTTGTGAGCTGAATTTAGCAGCGGATTACCCACCAAACCAAATCATGCGAAATAGATACATTTACATCTTGTCAAATTTAATCACAAATGTCAATGACCACCCAAAACCTTTTTTTTTTCTACCTTCTCTCAATTCAGAAAAATAGCTCCTTTCTGTCATTTACTAACCATGTATTCTTTTAATTCAGTACAGCTAAAGCTAGTTTCTTCTCACCTCTCATTTTATGAGACATCTATTTTACTAATTACCTGCATGTTAAATTACATGTTTAATTAAACCACACCCCCCCTAGAAAAAATTGTTCATTATTTATGACAGCTTAACTGGAAATATGATGAGTACTAAAAAAAAAATCAGACTGCCCTGGACAGGCCATATTGAAAGGATGCCGTATTGTAGCGCAGCAATAGCAATTTACAGGCAGAAGCCTAGGGGCAGACGGCTCACCGGTCGACCAAGACTGAGATCGACGATGAAGAAAAGGATTTACATCAGTTGGAAGTTCGTGCATGGAGGCGGAAAGCCATAGATCGATCTGAACGGAAGGATGTGGTGGAGCAGGCCAGGACCCTAAATGGGCTGTAGCGCCACTGATGATGATGAATTCCTTAAAAATCAAAATATGGAAATGTTTTCAGATTATGTTGGTGCAGAGCAAAGAATATATCTGGCAAATCACAGAAAATATAATTGGGCTAATTTTCTGCTTATTAATTTGAGCTAATTTTAAAAAAATTAAAAATCTTGATATATTAGTAGCTACCCCTAGATACATAGTTAATAAATTGCTTAAATGATACAGACAAAATGCTAGGATATTGTTTTAAACATTATGAGGGGAAAAAATATTAAGAAATGCATTTCATTATCTCAAATTAAAATTGAACAATATTTGTTGATATCTTTCAATACATGATAATAATATTTCATAGATTATAGGCAGAACACAGTATTGCAGCAGTACTGATCCCAATACCAGAAGGGAGGAGCTTTTTTAAATTTTAAAGGCAAATAACATACGGTTAGCATCTTCAAGTAAAAAAAAACACTCTTAGCATCTTCGAGTAAAAAAAACAACATACGTTTGACGCACACACAAAAAAGGAGAAAGGAAACACAAAGAATCCCCAACAGTCAATGACCTAAAGCTCGAGACAATTTTATTTGAAAAAGGAAACTTATAAAAGCCACCCCAAGAAATTTTTCCACATAAAGCATTAATAAAAACTTATTTCTTTGTATTTTTGTGTGGCTACAAGAACACAAAAGTAAAATGGCACAATCATGAGGTTTAAACCAGGTATTTTACTTAAGAATCCAAAGTGCTACAAAATCATTGCATGAATGAAATTTTTTTTAACTTCTGATGGTGATTATACAGTAGGGATTTTTAAAAAAATTATTTATGCAAATCTAATGCAATCTAATTTAACGAGACATTTCGCAATTTAATCATGGAGCGCTACACATTTTGAAGCCAAGCCAGAACTTAAGTTTTATTTTATCTGAAGTTGACATGACAACTAAACTGCTAAGTCGACTTAACTTCTCTCATGTAAACTTATCACATTACCAGAACAAAAAAATGAATAAGAAAAAACTGAAGGCATAAAAGAGGAATTTAACACTTATCAGTTAGAAGTAATTTTGCTTAAACGCATAATTTAACAATGTGCAAACATGTTGGTTAATTATATAAATTACTAATTAATTGAAATGGATAGGGGAAATTAACAAAGAAATAACTAACGGAATGTTTTTGTATTTTTGGGTCTAAGCTCTGATCTCAAAATTTGATGAGGGAAAAATGATTAAATATTGTAACAGAATAGTTTTATAGTTATAGTATGTAACCGAATAGATAAATATCATCAATTTAAAAAACAGATATTACCCTAACTACATAGTGATACATAGTGATATTTTATTGGTTTGAAAAACAGTGCTGTCGATGTTACCTTTTTTAACCTGTTGTTTAAAAAGGACCATCAATCAAATTTATTTGATAATTATTTGTAGCAAAATGTAAAAATTCAGGAAACATTTTATCCTTTCTTTTTTTTTATGTTAATTTTTTTTCAAATGGATATGCAGTATGAATCAGGTGCTCAAATCATAAGACTCAAGTTCATGTTTCTATGGCTGGCAAGTCAATCATAAGACTCTAGTTCATGTTTCTTTGGCTGGCAAGTCAATCATAAGACTCTAGTTCATGTTTCTATGGCTGGCAAGTCAATCATAAGACTCTAGTTCATGCTTCTATGTTCTATGGCTGGCAAGTCAATCATAAGATTCCAGTTGATTTTTCTTTGGCTGGCAAGTCAATCATAAGACTCAAGTTCATGTTTCTATGGCTGGCAAGTCAATCATAAGGCTCTAGTTCATGTTTCTATGGCTGGCAAGTCAATCATAAGATTCCAGTTGATTTTTCTTTGGCTGGCAAGTCAATCATAAGACTCTAGTTCATGCTTCTATGTTCTATGGCTGGCAAGTCAATCATAAGATTCCAGTTGATTTTTCTTTGGCTGGCAAGTCAATCATAAGACTCTAGTTCATGTTTCTATGGCTGGCAAGTCAATCATAAGACTCTAGTTCAGCGGTTCTCAACCTGTGGGTCACGACCCCTTTGGGGGTCGCACGACTCTTTTCCAGGGGTCGCCTAAGACCATCTGAAAACATATTTCCTTACAGCTATGAAGAAGCAACGAAAATAATTGTGTGGCTGGGGGTCGCCATGACAAGAGAAACTGTATTAAAGGGTCGTGGCACTAGGAAGGTTGAGAACCACTGCTCTAGTTCATATTTCTATGGCTGGCAAGTCAATCATAAGACTCTAGTTCATGTTTCTATGGCTGGCAAGTCAATCATAAGACTCTAGTTGATTTTTCTTTGGCTGGCAAGTCAATCATAAGATTCTAGTTCATGTTTCTATGGCTGGTAAGTCGATTCATTTTCAAAATAAATATGTAGCTCTCACATAGGACTTGTCATTGGTGGTGGTAGTGGTGTGGGTAGAGTCGTTGAGGCCGTGTGGCATTCACCTCATTTACAGTACATAAGGGTTACAGGTAAATCAGATATGACTTTGATTAAAATGAAACGATTTTTCAATACTCACCTCGACGGCCGTAACGCAGCATGCTGCAAGAAGTCAGTTGTTCTGACAAACCAGCTGTGATTTGTATCATTGTAGATGCGAAACGTTGGTATTAACATTTTAAAAAATTATTTGATAAACTTCCAAAATTCTTTTCCCTTGACTGCCTGATCATTACCATTATTAAAATAATCACTCAGTACCTAAATTGCATTATCGGAAAACAAACAAACCACAAAAAATGGCTTAAGACCGGATTTCTACACATGATAATGAGTTAGCCTGAAGAGAAAAAAAAATCATTAACAACCCTAACTAGCCCCAATGTTAAAAATTGTTCAGGTTATAAATATTAATATAATGAAACAAACATTTGCATAATAGCATAATTTTAGACATTTACCATATCAATGAAATACAAGTAGTTACACATTAAATACTCCTTACTTTATTTAAAACCTAACCTGTGTTTGATGAGAAATTAAAAATGGTATAATACAGAATTTAGATTCTTGTAAAAGCTGTAAAGAATGATGGGCAAACATTGAGCAGTGCTTAGAAAGCCAATTTCAACCTCTGGATGAACTTAATTAATATTGATGTAAGAATCGATGTTGATAAGAATTTTAAAAAATATCACATGTTTCTAATGACTGTGGCAAGTAATATCATAACTAAGATCAAACAATTGAAACTGTATGAAGAGACTAAGAGCACTGCCCGAGTGTGTCAGAAGTTTCTTCAAATTTTTTTAGGAATTTAATACTCAGCAGTACATTTGTAGATTCAAAGGTGGATTTTCATAAAATTTTACTTTGACATAAAGGAACCGGAAAGTTTTTGGAAGCAGTGGGTTGAATCCATGAAGGACTAAACAGGACATAGAGGGAATTAAGCAATTAAATTTAATAGATACAATAATAATATTTCTTCAGGTGTGTATGCATGCATGGCCGTAACACTGTGTTCAATAGGCGCACACAATAAAATTCCCAGAGTTTTGCCCTAATTTGGATTCTTTTTAAGTGTGTTACTTGAATGCATGTTTTCTCAAGTAACTTTAGTTGATGGGAAGTTTACGCTGTTGCAATTTTTTGACGAGTTATTGCTAGAAGACTCAATAATAATCTTTCATTTTAACTGGAAAGCCGCCCCTAGGCGACCGTTTCGTCCCCGCTACGTCCCGACCGGACAGCTCCCTGGGCGGTGGGGAGTGGTAACGCAACACCACCTCCCCGGAGAGAAAGTAAAGCCGTCCTGACCCACAGGAGAGCAGACTATGGACGCTTTAAACGCAGCGCCCTCGGTCGGCCGGACGTCCCTTAGGCCAGGAATGAAGTTCCTGGCGCGCTTCCGCACGGTCTGGGGCTTCGGCCCTGGCCCGTTTGGGGGAGCTGGGGGTGGGGGGGTATTATGAGTGCAAACTCGATGAACCACCGACACCATCTCCAAAGTGATGTTAACTGGAAATGAGCATTACTTTTCTTATTCTGATAACTTGAGAATTCTCCTTAAACAGCACCGTGTTCTTTAGCAATAATTAAAATTAATTAATATATTGGTAACTTGATAGAATGCAGTCTTTGAGATCCAGAAAATTTGACATACCGTGCATTAAGGTGACATTAGCGAGAGGAACACTGCCTGTCACATGAACTAAGAGCCAATGGCAAATGTGAGGCACTATCTGTCAACTAAAAAGCTTTGATACATCACCGCATCTTCGATCAAATGGCTCTCTGAGTCCACTGAATTTTTAACACTTTACATTTAAGTTAACCGCGTTTCATTGCTAGGACATTATTTACTTTCTAAAATTGCTAATATGAGATTATGTATAACAAATCATATTTAAGAAAACTTGGCTTTTAATGTATTTGGACAAAGTTCAGTGCCGTCAATTGCCTTTTAATCTCTACAGCAGGGATTCTCAACCTGTGGGTTCCAAACCCTCCGGGGATCGAACTGGGGTCGCCTAAAACCATCGGAAAACACATATTAATGAAGTAGCAAAGAAAATAATTTCATGTTTGGGGATCACTACAACATGAGGAACTGTATTAAAGGGTCATGGCTTAAGGAAGTTTGAGAACCACTGCTCTACAACAGCGTACTGACCAAAAGAAAAAATGAATAATACCTGAAATCTTAATGGTGATCTTGGTATTGTAAGCAATGTCCACATTCTATCAGGGATTTAAAGTGCATTGTAATAACTTAACAGCATTGAGTTTAAACAAATATTAATTGAAGTGATGAATCTTAAGTTTTAAACAACACAAAGATATTTATAGTCTAATTGCTGTCTAATCAGGCCAATATCAGGAAAGTTCTAGGAAGAGATAAATTTTAAGTTTTAAACAATACATAGATATTTATAGTCTAATTAGACCAATATCAGGAAAGTTCTAAGATATAGTCATAATGAAATGTTAGCAACGTCCTTTAATAATATGTCTATAATTAAAACATTTAACAAGGCAAAACTGAGACCTCATCAAAACATTTCTTTAGAATCAATTTGTTTTCCAATAACACTGATATTTTTCTTCATCATGTTTCACTTGAAATTGTAAACAGGAATTAATAAAAACAATGTAAAAAACTTATTCACTGTTATAAATCATAAATTATCCAAGTAAGTGGTAAAAAAAAAAAAAAAAGGGGGAGAAACAAAATCAAAATTTAACAAAAGAATACATTTCTTCATCAAGTTTCACTTGAAATTGTAAAAAGGAATTAAAAAAAACAATGTAAAAAACTTATTCACTGTTATAAATCATAAATTATCCAAGTAAGTGGTAAAAAAAAAAAAAAAGGGGGGAGGAACAAAATCAACATTTAACAAAAGATTTCTTCTTTTAACCATCTAAGAATGAAACTGTGAATACATGAGTCCAGTTGCTGATATAGCATCCCCCAAACCAACTGTCTTGACTGGATGCCTGCACACTAAAACGGGACTGAACACAAAGAAGAAATCATCCCGTCTCCATGAGATGACCGGGTTGTGGGGATCAAAGTCTTTTTCTTTATCACCTGAGAACAACTTGAACCTTGAAGGGATTTTCAGCTCAACGAGGTCCTCTTTCAGGTTTGGAATGTCGCACGCTTGCAGGCCGGCCACCTGCGTACCTGCTGCGGTGGCCTTGTCCACATTTGACCAAGCTGTGTCCCGGACGCCAACGATGTGATAGGTTAAGGAGTGGAAGTGAATCCGCGAAAGCCTGGATGAAGGATGGTTGCTGGACTTTCCGTATTTCTGTAAAATCCACAGCATAATGTCGGAGATTTTGTAAATCTCAGGCTGCCCGTTGTAGTCGTCAAAGTGGTCATGGTGTGGCCCATTCAGAGACTTGGAGGAAAACACTATTTCCTGTTCATTCAGGCCGAGGGAATCAACATTTGGTAATGCCTGGGAGAAATTTTTAAAAAATATTTACATTATTTATTTAACATATTCAGTAACTTCATTAAATCCAATTAAATAATTTAATGATGTGATTAGGAAGTTTTGGGTGTATGTCATAAATGGGAGGGGGCGGAGATATAAAGGGATGGATGTAGAGTAAAACCAAGAAAAACTAATATGACAAGGTTTATTTTTTAAAAATAACAAATAAATCAATGAACTGAGGCAAGAATGTTTTGGCAGAAATATTTGTTTTGCCTCTAGATTTGGATTCTGAAAATTTGCAAACAGATTAAAAAGAAAGAAAAAAACACAAAAAACCCAGAGAAAATTGAACTAAAACTTGATTAAATAATATTCAAAGTAGCTTAAACATTTAAAATATAAACATAGAGAGAGTAAAAGGGGAAATGAATTACCAAGAATGAAATGAATTACCAGAATGATGCCTTAACTTAATTTCTTACTTCCTTAACTCTATTTTTTAAATTTTAGCATAGCAGATTTGTCAATTTGAGTGCAATACTCATTTTTCAACTCGAGTTCAATTCATATTTGTCAATTCAATTGCAATGCATAATTATCAATTCATTTTTTTTCCTACTTAATTTATGTTCAGTGTGTGGCCATATAACCATTATGTAACTTTTTTTTCACATCAAAAAAGAAAAAAAAAAAATCTGCAAAAAAAAAAAAAAAAATTTAAAAAATAATTAAAGTGCAAAGGTCCATCACCAAGTATAGCTGATGTCAGATTGGAGAAGCAAGCAAACATAAATGGATTATTATGGTATCTGTAACTCTGGCATTGGACTTTAATACATATTTTAGGGGGTGGGGCGTGGTTGTCTGTGTGAGAGTACTTGTTTTGTAAATCTGACCAGAAAAAAAAAAAATCATCTGAATAATGCTTAAAAAGTTCTTTTCTTGTGAGGGATTAATAACTATTCAGTTAGGGTACCAAATTGAAAATATAATCAAGGTTTTATCAAATGCTCTGTCTAAAAATTTATTTTTTTAAATGGGAGTTTTAAGTCCTTACCACTGTGATTTTTTTTTTATCCCAGCATATTTTTTTTATAAAAGGTGGAAAAAATGGGGGAAAATTCTGTTATGGAGTGCTATTGAGGCCCCAAACATAAAAATGTCCTCTATGCTGTGTCATGCAAGGGCCAGGGTTATAAATTATAACAATACTTGGGTCTACATTTGGTGTTGGTGTCTTTCTAAGGATGTGTAAAGTGGGAGGGTAGCGGCCTGACTGGTATTCACATCATTTAGTATAAGTATAAACATGATTGTTATAGAAAAACTTGATTTCCTCCTTGGGCTTACATAAACCTAACTAGATGTACAAAACATACATTTAAACAACAGATATAAAAGAATTCGTTTTAGGGCAAAAAGTTTGAATGGAAAAAAAACAAAAAAACTTGACATACTTTAGCTAACCATCTGATACAAATAAGTGGCTAAATTTAGAAACTCGTAGTTATAGTTATTGCCCTTATTATTATGGAAATGCAGGTGCTTGGCAGCAATGTTTATTCATAATTTATGTTAAAATTTAGGCTCAATAAATTTTAGATTAGGTTCTTGCAACAACTGCCACACTTTGAGAGATCAAAACATAAAACTAAGCCAAACTGTGTACCCAAACTCTGGCTCATGGGCATAAAAAAGAACATGGAGACATTTCAAGGCACAATTGTGGAGAATAGATAAAGGAAAAATCAATCCACATGTCAAGTGCAGTAAAAACATTCGGGAATTAGCATTTCATGAATCAAATGCTTTACAGTTAAAAATCTGTTAACTGAAGAGATATGGGATTGCGTTTCACAGGAACAACACATTGTTCCATCAATGCTGGGGTTATTGATTTTTTTTGTGAGCAGTGAATGGCATCAATTTATTATAATTTAGCTCCCATTGTTACATTAGAAAATAACTGAACAAGCTCGTACTTCAGAATTCAAATTTAGATTATCAGACAAGTTAGAAAACTGTGTGAGGTTTTAAAACAGATGTTCATGAAACACTAACCAAGTGTGTACTGAGTGCCTGCCTGGATTGATCTCAGTTTAGATCCTCAAAGGGCCACTCATGGTTTGCAGACACTGTTAACATTTAGCGATTGCCAAAAGTGTAACATGGGTTTGGGTAGATTAAGAATGGGGGCGGGTATGGTGCCATAAGCAAGTTTTTTTTTAAGCATCAGCAGTAAAGAGGAACCTTCTGGTCTGATAAAGGAACAGGGGCATGATTGGACCAGCCACCAACTCTTGCTACAAGGGCCAATTCTTGCTCATTTAAGCCCAGCGATGACACTCCATGTGGTAAAACCTAATAATAATTCATATTATTTCAACAAATCATGGACAAACTGTTCAAAGGACATAAAATGAATTATTTTAACTTTTTCCCCCCCCCCCCCCTTTCCTATTGGGCATAGTTTAACTATAGAGTCACCTACCTATCATTTAAAAAACATTTTGTACAGGGTGGTTTACCACAGCTCAAACAGAATCAGTAACTAATAAAGAAATTGTTTAAAAATGGCTAATGCATGAAGATAAAATCTCTGCTGTGAGTTAACTTCATATCATGTGAAATCCTTTCCCCACAAAACTAAAACAAAACAACTAGAGTTCTCGACATGCAACTCACCTCCTCAATAATCTGTCGCACAAAATCTTCATTGGCCATGCTGGCAAGCTCCAGGTGCACAGGAACAGAGGATGGGACATCCTGGAGCAATGAGACCATCTTTTCCAAACGTTCATCAAAAAATTCAGGAGACTGACCATCCATTATGTTGAGACCTACGATAAAAAAAATAATTTTTTAAGTAAAAATTTGATATAGAAACAACCCTTGAACACTATAATGATAATACAGAGCAGAATCATAAAAATGAGGGAACATTTTTTAAAGTTGAAAGGTTTACAGTTCACAAAAATCACAAGATTTTATTTTGTTTTTCCCCACTAGAATTTAAAAATGTGTTTTCCCCAGTGCAGCAGAAGAAGATGATGCTCACTTATGTCTACTTTGAGATTAGTCTTGCAGTCGGTCCACATCTCTTTCACTAAGACTCTAGCTCACCTAATTCCTCTGAAAGAGGGTTCATCATTTTATAGCTAATATGGGATGTCTTTGAAATGCTCAATCTTATACACCTTTTTTGCACCATTTGTGTGGGAATTCAAATATCTTTTCTTCCATTTGGAAGATGGTTAGCAATTTTGGGTGGGGGGAGATGGTGTTCAACTTCAATGATAAATCTTTAGACAATTGGTTACACTTTTATAACAAAACAATTGAAGATGGAATAATGGTGAGGGATTAAAAGGGAAGTTAATTTTTTTATTCTTAAATTTATTTTTACCTGACATGTTTTAGGGGAATGGTAGATAACAAAAATATCAAATGCTCTTCGAAAGAATGGAGACAGGCTTTTTAAAAATGTTGATCATTTGCTTTGGTGAGGATTGACACTAAGAGAGCTTCGACAACAGCTATCAAGGAATTTATAAGCTTGTAAATTTTTTAATGAATAAGAATTTTAAAATTTAAATTTGAATGTCTAAGAAGACAAAAAATGTTTAATCTCTAACACAAATTACTTAACAAATGGCATGTAAAGTAATGTATTTAAAACACAATAAACGGCATATGGTGCATTTGAAACAAGATGAATTGCAAACCTAACGGCACTTTATCATTTATGCAAGGTCTTAATGGCAAATAAAATTACCTGAAAGTAGAATAAGATCTGGCTGAAAAGTTTTGATGCTTTCAAAATATGCTTCAAGCATAACAATTTTAGAATTGGACTCATCATGACTGGTTATGAATCTGTTTGCCACAGGGGCTGACAGATTCCCCCATTGTTCTCCAACCTTGTATTCCATGATGAGATGAACCTCATCTTTCGGGATCCGGCATGTTGGAGGTATTTTTACAGCCTTTGGCATTAGCCTTTCCAACAATGGACCCACAGGCCCAACAAAATTGATCTGAGGAAGTGACATCATAGATTTATGCTTCTGACCAAAAACAAATGTGGTCATAAACAGATGATGAGGAAAACAAAATAAGATAGTTACTTGTTTTTATAATGTTTTTATTATTAAACTATAATTTCTTTAAGATACAACATTTTTTTCTAGCCACAAGGAAGAAGACAATCTGTATAATAATAGAGATAACATGAAAAAAAGTTTTAAATAAATGATGAAACAAATCAAATTTTTTTTTTTTAAATAACTAAAATATTATACTTACAGACAAGCTGGGAAATAAACTTGATGCCTTCTTTGCCATTAGTGCTGCATTCCCACCGATAAAATGCTGAGAAAGAAAAAGACATAACTTTGAGGAAACGGCTTCCAAGATTTATAATAAAGAGCAATCAGTAAGCAGTTAGAAAAAATAATATAAAAAAGTTTAAAATGGTTTTCATTATATAATTAAAAAATACTCATACGGCACTACCATTATTGTGCTCTGTCTGATTTCAATGGGGGGGGGGGGGGGAACACAATCAAAAGTAGAAAGACAAGCCTGAGTTGCAATGTAGCAGGAGCTCATTCTTCATACTAAGAAAATAATGTCAACATCATTTTGAAAATCAAACCTGTTTTAAGAATTAATAAATTTAAAATAGATGACAAGCTTAGAAAATAAATTCTCATACCTCTACATGGTTCAATGTTTCTGCTGTTTCAATAATTTTTTGATATATGGGTTGATCTGTAAATGGACGTTCTGCAGCACTTCCTCTTGCGAAATAAAAGGCAAATGTTTCTTGCAAATCATTAAAATTGCTTAGAACATTTTTATTTTCCCGTTTTCCAGGTAGGATTTTTAATGCATTTAGCAAAGCCACACCAGACACAATGATGTCTACATTAGAGTTGATGCTAAAAAAAAAAAAAAAGAAGTATAATTCCTGCGCTTATTTCAATACTTAAGTGAAGTGATATAGAATATTTCTAATTCTAATTCTTGCAAATCATTAAAATTGCTTTGAACATTTTTATTTTCCCGTTTTCCAGGTAGGATTTTTAATGCATTTAGCAAAGCCACACCAGAAACAATGATGTCTACATTAGAGTTGATGCTAAAAAAAAAAAAAAAGAAGTATAATTCCTGCGCTTATTTCAATACTTAAGTGAAGTGATATAGAATATTTCTAATTCTAAATGATGCAAAATGAAGTCTTTTAAAATATCTTTATATCTTTTTACATATATAGTTATTTTTAATAGGCCTTATGTGAAAATTAAAAAAATAAGAACATTTTTCACTAGAGTGACTATTTTTTTCTCAAATTAAAACCAGGACATTTAAAATTGTTTTGGTGCCATGGGTGTCCAAAAGTATGCAATAACTGTTGTTACATGAAGATCTTTTCTGCCTGTAAAGTGTTCTTTACAAAAATATCATATTATCTTGATGCCAGTTTGGATGATTTTTGTTTTTTAAAATTGTGTTATCAATTTATGCCATGCCATGATATCAGATGAGTTCATTTTTTTTATGCAAGGCCATCTATAAATGAGGTCATGCCATTTAGCCTGATTATTTGCCCCACCCCAATTTTGGTCACCAATTTATAACACCAATTAGACACTTTTATCACACATTTGATGCATGATGTCATTTGTAGACAATTATGGATATTCCCTAACTAATTGTTTTTTCTTCTGTATAGTCTACAAGTGTATTCTTCTTCATATCTGAGGGCCCACGATCAATTTAGTGATCATTTTGGCTCCTGGTTTGAATTCACAGTTTGCCTTCTCTTAGATGAGCAGCTGTCCCAGGCTAACAAGTCCCACCCACCCGGGGTGCTTTAGTGGGGATTGAACTCCAGACCACGAGCTATTTAGATTGAGTCAGTGATTGGCAAATAATGAACTATTGGCAGTATTGGCCTAATCAATCAATTATTCAAGGGTTGCACTATTTGATTTAATAATTACATTAATTAAGTCTCTTAATCTTTAATTAGACTAGAGTTAGAGTTCATAATTTTAAAGAAATTTTAAGCTATTGACATAGTATAGGCACTTTGGTAAGGCAAGGGAGACTACTTCAAAATTTGCATGGGAAATGGGACTTGGCGCAGAAAAATCTGAGTTTTTAATTTTTGGAGGTTGGTGCTTTTTCATTCATGAAAGAACTATTTTGTCATAGAATTGTGGTATCCATACGTAAACAGTAGTGGACATCTTGACCAACATTTCCATCATAAATTTTTGCCTTTTCAATCGACCCCAATATTATAAATTCATAAGGCATCTTTCCCTATAAAATTTGATTTGAAGTTCAAATTTTATGTCTTTCATATTAATTTCATCTCTGTAAAATAAATATGTGTGCCAATTCTCATTGCTGATACTAGACTCTTGTGTTGAACAGCCCCAAACATATCTGCTACTTCCATGATCGCTGATGATCTGATCTGTAGTTCCGAATGAAAGCGATCAATACACTCCAGAATCTCCCTAATGTTTTCGTCTCGAAGAAGGAGTCAAGCATCTATTAATTTTTATTGTGCATTTCTCTTCTTAAACCTTAATCTTCTCACTACCGAAATTCCATAGTGGTCTGATTTTAAATATTTCTTTTCAATAGCATGTTTCATCAAGGACCTCAAGCTGATGAGCCCAAAGGTAAAATCACAAACATAATAATTAAAGAATTGAATTTCAAATCAAAGACAGCATGCAAAAGACTTTGTTCTGTACCTCTTGTATCCTAATTTTCAAGAGGATTACACAAAGCTTCAATAGCCGCCACACATTCATCAAACTCATCTTTCACTGTCTTAACAGCAGCATGATAAGTACTCCAATGCTTTGTTGATAGTCTTTTCACTGACATTCCAATGTGTTCAAATAGAACATTTCATTGATGAGTGGATGCAGCAAAGAAGGAAAATATTCTTTCAAGAGTACTGAAAAATGTCATACGTGAACCTTTCCGCAAAAGAGTGTTGACCACACAAGTTAAGCATATGGTACACGGATCCATTAAAAATCGCGTTCTTATTATTTCTTTTCAGAGTAACCTGAACACCTCCATGGATTCCAGACATTGTGGCAGCATTATCATAACCTTGAGCTATGAACATCATTATGTCTAGCCCATCACGTTTCAGATTTGCAAGAATTTCAGAACTGAAGTCATCAGCTTTTGTCCCTCTTAAAGGGGAAAAATCCAAGAAGAACTTCTCTCACTTCAACTTTCCCTTTGTGGATGTTCACTTATCTGGTCACTTCAGATATCTGGTCAGTTTGTGATATATGAGGTGTACTTTTGAACATAATTCCAAAATACCTCGCAGCCTTTATGTCCATGATAAGAATCTCCTTCATATGCTTTCAAGGACATTTATAAATTCATTTTAGGTTTATGGTGAAAGGTAAGATGCGGATGCTTTTTCTGTAGATGCACTCCTCTTTGGTCTCATTTGGTGCTCTTTTAGCACTTGATTATATTTAGATAGCATATCAACCATTTCAATAAAGTTTTAGTGAAGATTTGTCTCCGATATGGCCACAAAATGCCAGAATTTGCTTTGCAAGAAACAATGTGATATACAGCAACCTGTGAAGGATATCCCTCCACATTTTCTTTTCCCTGCCATCACAGCAATACTTTCGGCATCTATTGTTTTGTGTATCCTAAGTTCTGCTGCTAATGCTTTCCACTTTTCAAGGCAACATAGGCGCTCTTCCGATGCTTCATGATTTTGTAATTTTGAGCTCAGTTTTCACCACTTATCAAAGTCAGTAACAAATTTGGATGTTGTTTCTGTAACATTAACAGCAAACAATCTGCAGCACAATCAATTCAATTTATGACTGAAAAGTGAAAAAAACAAACTCCAAGACTGCCCTATTTTCTCGCCATTTTGCATCATCCCGTAGATCCATTGTTTTGTAAAATAAAAGAGATTTATTGTAAAATATAATTTTTAACCCTATAAATGGGTAAAAATTCATTTACAATGTTTTTAATTTTTACCGATTCGTATACTTATAATCGCCCTACTACACCGCCCTATTTCTCAGAATCTATATAAATATAGCCTCCTGTCACTTACTGACGTTACCGAACACTTCAATTGGTGTGGAATAATGATTGTGTTTTTCTGACCTAAGTATAGGATCATCTCATTTCTGACGCATCAAACTTGAACTTTGGATTTGTGAAAAATATATGTGTGATCAGTTATTCTTTTATGAATCTCGGTTTTTGAGAGCAATGTGTACCCTGTAAATTGCAATTTTTCATTCGGGTGTCACCCCTAAATACAGCATTAGTTCTGAATAAAAAAAGTAGTTTAAAATAATCATTAAAATGAGAGTTATAATATAGCTCGTGATGCGAACAACAGAATTGGCTCACTGAATGTGGAGATGTGGTCCATGTTAAAAAAGGACAAATGAAGTCGTACTTTAAAAATTCATAACTTTAAAACTACAACAGCTAAAAATATGATTTTGGTGTAATAATTGATTAATTCTGTAAAAAAAATTATCTCTATTCACCTATGCCTATGCCATTGGTTTATTTTTACAAAATGTTTACATACATTTTTATCAAAGTACCTAGTAGTGATTTCAATTTTAACGAAGATGAATATGACTTCTTAATTTAGATTTTGCTCAAAAAATTATTAATTATTATTATTTAGTATATTAGTAATTTAGTCATATAGTCCATAGTCTTTGACTTCAGGCTTCTTTATTCTTTACTTTTACTTTGACTTTAGATTAGTAAAATATTCATTAATTGTGCTCGGAGTTGTGTGATTAAATTACAGGTATTTAATTTATTATGCCAATCTAATATTAATAATCTCCTCACCCAACTGCAAGTTTCTGAAATTGTTTTTCGGGTGGTTTGATAAAATTGGTCCAAGAATCGATGATTCCTCGTTCCGGTTTTATATCAACATTGTCCAAATATTTGTAGAAAAATAAAGATAAGACAGCAAAACACAGTCCTAACACAAGAGTAACATTCGATGTCATAGTTGATTAAGAAATAGACTTGTTGTATGAGACAATTCCTTCCAACCCTGAGAAATCAGTAAGGTTTTCCGTTTCACAATAGCCAATAATTATAGGCCTTTAAACGATAAGTATAATGCAACTATGGACTCTGTGAGACCACTATTGATTGACAGGGTATACGGTGCTACGTAATCTGAGCAGTACAAAAAGGTGGCCAGACACCAGCAGAGTTCTAAATTAAAAATTAAAAATGAAAATTTGTCTAATAATTACAATTAATTTTTATATTGTAATTATTTTACAATTCTGTCTTTCCGGTGTATATAATAAAAATTCAAATCTTTAAATAACACTACACTGGTTGTAATGTTTTAATAAACCATTTTAAATCTCTCATTAAAATGTAAAGTTGTATTAAAATTTTTCCAATAATCCAAGAAGCTTAAACTGTAGGTTTGAGATACGTGTCAGACATAGGAAACCCAAGAGACGCTGCTGCTTTATTTTTTATGCTAGTTTAAAATTCCTGTCTTTTTGATGTGAGTGTGTGGGGAAACGGGATGTATGTGGTTGAAGGGAAGGTTTAATAAAAATTAATTTCTATATTTCTTAAAATTAAAAAAAAAATAAAATTTAAGATTCCCCCTTTTTTTTTCTTTCTAAAAGCATCCCAATCTAAGAATGGATGGGGGCATATCTGATTCTGTCCAATAATTCTTAACTAAAAAATTACTGTAACATCAATTTATACGCAAATGAGATATAGACAGTAAGCAGTAGTACTATTGATATAAAAATACAATTAAAAAGAAAATAGCTGGTTATGCTATTTCAAAAGAGCTTATTAACATTATAAAATAATAATTTAATTAAATATATTTCTTTTACCAGAATTTTTTAAATCTATTTAATTTTTAAATTTCTCAATCCTCTTGAACTATGGCATATAACTTAGCGATTGAACCCAAGTGAAGATCTTTATTCGCAAATATCTCTGAGAGTATATAATATATTTTAGTTTTTTTTTATATATATATAGGCCTATATTTTTTAAAAAAAATGTAGATTTAACTTTAGTTATAATTATGTTGTTTAATACTGCCCACAAGTCCAAAATACGGTTCTGCAATTAATGACAAGCCACAAGCTATGTCCATGAACCGCCATAACAACTGTAGAATTAAGATGAGAATAAAACGTTTTAATTGAACCGAAGAATTAAATGGACAGTGGAACGCATACTATTTTTTCGCGACTAGTTGAAAGACAATGACATACTTATTATAAAGGGGAATTAGTGCATATTAACGAATTATTGTTAATTACTAAGTTACCCTCCTTTGTATAAAAAACCTCATCCATTTCTCCAGGCTTCCTTGTACAACCATAAACAAGTTTTAAAAGTTCTGTCGAAGAGATAAAAATTGTTTTAACCTTCAATTTTCGGGTTAAACAATTTTATTTCAACACAAATAAAACTTGCCACAGTTTAGCGTTTCATGAGTGCGTGGGTTTAAAAAGAAAAAGAAACGGCACAACCTTTACAGTAATAATATTTTTTTTTTTAAGCAAATAACCACTATTAGCATTAGTTACCGTAAAAAAAAAAAAAACTACTCACCCAAGACAAATCGTATTTAGTGACGTTTGAAATCATAACAAGTAAATCACCTCTTTATTGAAATTTCAAAGCAATTAATATTCTAGTAATACATTTGCGTAGCTAAGATTAATACGTCCCCACTCCACCCCCATTTT